TTTACTGCACTTGAAAGAAGAATGTTAACACAAGATTTGTGCACAAATCAAATTATACTGCAACATGTCAGTTAGCTGTCAGTTAAGTGTTAGTTTAGGATAACTGTTCGATAGCCATTTAGCTAAAATGCTACCTCACAAAATGTCACGCTTCCTGTAACATTAATGCAGTTTAACTAGGTAGGTCACCAACCAGCACACAGAGAAATGGCACCACAGGTAGGCCCTCTCTAAGTTTTTTTCAATAAAGTATAGCTTTGCTAACGTGAATGCGAGCTAACATTATTATTATTAAGTTGAGGTGTATTTAACTAATGCTGCTTAAAAGAAAGTGGCTTGAGAACTTGAAAACGGTTAAAATTGAAGAGCATGTTCAATTTATTATTTATTAATTGCACTTAGATTATTAATATTTTATTTGTGTGTGCCTATGTGTCATTGCTGTTCAAAGCGATTTCGATTACTTCAAAAGGTTTTTGTTTAGAGCTCTAAGCGTCATTCTAAACAACCATAATGAATAATAATTCATGTAGAACAACTTGTCTTAACAGGTATCTTAATAAAGCACTGCAATTCATTTACTATTAGTATTCATGATTGGAAATTGGATTTTCAGATCAGATAATTACAGAAATTAGGAGACTGTCCGACAGCACAGTACAGGCACTTGAAATGTATCCCCCATGTGATGACACAAGAGGTCGTCATAAACCATCCAGTATGTTTGCGCAGTAACCTGGTTTTGGAGTGGGGGAGTCAGTAAACAGGTAAAATGCTACAAATAGAATCTAGCCACTTAAGAATATAGTCTTGAGGGAAGGCAGCCTGCTCCCTGGTCTGCGTCAGCACTGACCTTTTTGCTGTTTGCTAAAGGGATTTGATTTCACCTCTAACTCTCTCACTTTCCCTTTTTTCAACATTCACACTTGAGCTACCTGAGCAGTATAAAATGGCAGTTTTGTCCATGCAGGAGAAGCTGTGGTAGTTCAGCCATGAGCCAAGTGATATCACACCAACGATAAGCTGATTCCAGCAAAGAAATGTTTGGCATTTTTAAGCAAGGTGGTTGGAGGTTTTTGCATTGTGCCAAACACCACTATAATATTACATACTTGCAAATATACTTGCATTTCCACATACATTTCACAGGGAGGTCAGGGCCAGCACAAAATAGTGATTGGGTGCCTTGCAGAAGGAAAGTTCAACAGATACTTGTTACAAGTTCTCAAACCACTGAAAAATGTATCTGTTTATTACTACCTCCTGCTGTGAACCATTGCTAAAACCTATTTGCAGTCATTCCCCCACTGGTTGCTTACAAACTATGAATATCTTTCCATGTAAGTTGGACATTGACTGAACATTTCTTTCTACTATTCATCTTGAAATGGGAAATGTTTAGAACTTGTGAACCTACAGCGCCCTCTGCTGGCCTTACAGGGGCAGACTAATAGGGCTCAACAAGAATGAAAACTGAATGCAGACTTCAGCTCATCTCTCTATTGCCTTTTACAGAGCTGGTAAAAAAAACAATATGCACTGCTCCATTTAACACCACTTTCTAAACAAGGCAGAACAAATAGTAGTTTTCTTTTGTGGTCTTTGTGGCTTGGAGATGATCTCATATTAGACTAGAAGAGGTTTCTGCAGGTTAAACATCAGCCATGTTTTCTTCCACTACTGTACAACTCAGTTCTGTCCATTAGTCTCTATATTTCATGGCACACTATATTTCATATTAAATATTAAATGGTTCAGCAGTTTTGAAATAGGCCTCAGGACAAAGACATCTGGTCAAACAGCTGGGCAGCCTGGATTTTAAAGATGCATGAGATGGTTTGCTACATTCCCATTTTTTTAGGATCACTCTATGCAAATGACTGTGGTTCAGTTTAGTTGATCATCATATGATGCAGGTTTAAACTATGTCGTGATTCTTCTGCCAAAGAAACAGGGGCATAGACAAAATCACTAAAGAAAGTCACGTGAAGCATTAAGTCAGCAGGGAGTTTTCACCGCTCCAAAGTAAAGTAAGCGTCATGGACTGAGGAAAGCAACACTCTAAATTTTGAGCCAAGCAAATACTACTACAAATAATAATAATAACTTTTATTTGTTAGTATTCCCAAAGTGCTTTATAGTATACCATTAAAAACACAATAGAAACAAAAATACAGAAAAGATAAAGTTATAAAATAGAATAAAGATTAAATAAAAAGGCAGCGAAATTAAAGTAGTAAAAATGACAGTAGAAGGAGATAATGATGTACTACATTAACTAAATACTTGCCTGAACAAGTAGGTCTTCTCTCTCTCAGACACACACACACACACACACACACACACAAAGCCAATCCTCTGTAAGGTATACAAAGAGACTGGAAACTGAACAACATCAATCAAAGTAAATATGCAGGGATGTGACTGTTGACACTGGAAAATAATTGTTGTGGTTATGCCCCATTAAATTACTGTCTTTGTTTGCTTTCACAGATGTGTCATAATTAAGTAATTTAATTTGGGGTGTTGCTATCACTAGTTTAACACTGAAGTAAAGCTCAGAACTACCAAATACAGCATTTTAATAATGAAATTATTCTGTTGTATTTAAGGGACGTTTTAGATAAACCATTCAAAACTAAGAAACAATAATATAGACTCTTAGAGTATCATAAACTAAGCAAAGCTAAGGCTATGGTCTTACTAAGCTTAAATACATACAGTATGTTGCAGGCTATGAAAAGCTAAACAAAGCTAAAAATAAAGTGAGAGATGGGAAGATAAGCCAGGGAAGCAGGAGCAACAACAACAACAACAACTTGTTTGTTAACATAGCCACCTTTTTTGGATAAAAAAAAATCTATGGCACACAAGGGGTGTGGAAAAAGTAACACGTGGCTTCTGGCTAAGGATTACTACCTACAGAAGAACCGAGCAGTTTCCTGTTGATACTTCCTTGCACCTCGAAGTATAATAGCACAGTCGTGACATGACATACTGCATATTGGAACCATTTTATAAAAAGTAGAATTCACATTATTTCCTGGGTTATTACTTTTCTACAAACCAGTTTAAAAAAGCTTTAAAAAACAAAGGTATAAAGAATCAGAATCAGCTTTATTGCCAGGTATGTGTACACATACGAGGAATTTACTCAGGATTGTACTGCTCACGATGTGCTTACTTATACAAAAATACAATCACAATAATAAAAGTAAAATAAAATCATACAGACTTCAGTGTAGACAACACAAATATACACACTATGAACAAAAACAATAGACATATTGACAAATAGTGCAGTGAGCAGAGTGCAAAGGATACAGGAGTATGTACATGTTGGAGGTACATACAGTATACATGCATAGGCCTACATGTACACATGTACACAGTGCAATGAAGCATAGTTCAACACACCCCTGGGGGGGGGGGGGGGGGGGGGGGTACTGATAGTCCGGGTGCTGGATGTGATGTTCCCCCAGCCTCACCTGCTGACTCCTGTCAGTCTGATCCACTGATAGGTGGAGGCCGGCACAGTGAGCTGGGTGGGTTTGGTGCTGAGGATGTCCGGGATGATGGTGTTGAACGCTGAGCTGAAGTCCACGAGCAGGATCCTTGCATGTGTCCCTGGAGAGTTTAGGTATTGCAGGATGTAAAGTGCAATGTATACATCGCGTCAAATTGACGGAGTAGCCTCAGCGTAGCCCCCTGCAGTCCCAAGTTGACTCGTAGGCCCATCTTTTCACACTCTTTACAACAGGGCGTTCCTTAATGTAGCGTAGCAGTGGTCCAGTGTGTTAGTGTCCCTGCTGGGACAATTACCATGCTGTCTGTACTTTGGGAGTTCATGGCTGAGGTTTGCTCTGTTGAAGTCACTGAGACTGAGACACTGAGAACTGTTTTTTCTCCATGTTAGTTATCTGGTCGGCCAGGTGTAGTAACGCCTAACTAACACAAGCCTGAACAGGGGCGGACTGGGACAAAAATTCAGCCCTGGCACTGTAGCCACGCCATCCCACTTTACCACGTATCCCCACGAACACACATTCACTACTTAGGCTATATTTGTTTACAGATGGTGAAATAATATACGCAGTAGGCCTACTGTATGCAACAGCAAGTGCGTCACTTTGTGTTGAAAACAGCTGGTGACATAAGGTCTGAACATAGGTGTGATGAAAGACTTTGGTCACGAGAACAAGACGAGAAGATATTTTAACACTATTTTGAATAAGTATTCGATGATAAAATGTATGAGTGGGGGTCTGGGGGTCCTCCCCCAGAAGATTGTGAGCATTAAACACTTCTGGAGACATTTTCTGCACCAATTTATGGAGTAAATATCTTTATTTATATGAATGGCAGCACAAAATTCAGCAGGTGACAACTCAAAATATAACAATAAAATGGAATATAATGCAGTAAATTCAGTAGCTTTTTTTGTTGTAGTAGTAATTTTCTTGGAAAATGCACATTTGTTTCTTCTATATTTAAATTGCATTGCATGTTTTCTTATTGTGAAAATAAACAAAGCATTTTCATTTGTGTCCAGGGCTTTCTGGCTGTACCGATTCCAGCAACATCCATGAGCACAGTAGCCTATAAAACATTGCATGTTTTCTCACACACTGCTCTCAACATTGGAATACACATGAATAAAAATATTACTGTGCTATAGCCTACTTTGAGATAAATGCCCCAACTCTAAGAAAATGTAGCATAAGAGTGCCAATAAAATCCCCACAAACTGAAAACAATTCATGTTTACTTGTGTCCACTTTTATTTAAAGATCCATCCTTTCCCCCTGTGAGTGTCCTTTGTAATCTATGTTGCTCTGAATACAGAGGAAAGTTAGTGTCCAAGGCTTTCAAGGTGTTTCCTTTGCTGGCACAATGCATGTGAGCATGTGGTGCCATTGTGAACTGAACATGAGCTCTTCACTGCTACCCATAATGCACTGTGGAAAAGGTAACACCCATTCTGTTTACTTGGAGGAAGCCAGAGACGGAAAACTACCAGCCTGAAGAGAGGAGAGGAAACAAATCCACTGCCAAAAAAACAGAAAAGAAGAGAGTTGGTGCCGATTGTCCTCGTTAGACGTGAGCCAGTTGTTTTTTTCCCCAGTAAACGTGGATTTTTATAGATACTTTGGACACTTTGGAGTTTGTTTCTCTACCTTTTGGCATTAACAAGGTGTGAGTGAGAAAAGTGGGACGGTCAAAGTAATGGGAAGAGCTGCAGTGTTCTCCATGTATGGACTCCAACTCTGTTCATATGGTAAATAGAGGGTTACATGGAGCAGTAGTCTTGGAGCAGTGGGGGGAAAAGGGAGGGAAAGGAACAAGGGAGAGAGAGTGAAGAGATACACTACAGGACTTTGGCCTGCTTCATGTGCAGGAGGCAGGACTTTCACACTGAGTTTAGAGGATACTGGATCACACTACAAAGAGAGAGGAAACAAAAGAGTTGTAGTGAGTGCCATGCTGTGAATGAACTGAAGTCCTAGTTTTCTTCAATGGGGTTTTCCAGTCTTTCACTTGACTACCTTTGATTTTTCTTTCACTTCCCTGTGGGTCTGAAAGTTCACCTAGTGCCTTCCTGGCTGTCATCACCACTTCATACTTTTGTTTCCGGATAATTGAAAAGCCAAGATGCCCACCAACTTCACTGTGGTGCCAGTGGAGGATGCAGAGGATGGCGGCACTGGTACATCTGCAGCTGGAGGCAGCAAACCTGCCAGTTTGGGCAACATTTTTGGGGAGGAAGAGGATGAGGACAACTTACAAGAACACCATTCAGGTAGGAATACGGAGCGGGACAAAGCCTCTTCTTTGGCTTGTAGACATGCTCTATTCATAAATGTAGGGAAGTCCGTTTTCAGTTCCCTCTTATTACTGTTAAGGTCATGAGGAGCCTTTACCAACATGCATTAGGTGTTAAAATGTCTAACTCTGATAAACTGTATGCGTCAGATACATGTTATGGCAGGCACATTCTGTACACACATACGTACAAACACACACACACACACACACACACACACAAACACAGTGTTTAAAATGTGAGGCTGTTTAACTAGCTAGAACTTGCAGGGAAGCTTGATGGTGTGGTAGGAAGGTGGGATTTAAGTCTGTGCAATCCTGGTTGATGGTTGGGGCTGTTTGCTTTATCATGGCTGCAGGCAGTGTTGGGAAGGTTGCTTTGGAAATGTAATGGCTTACAACTTAAGTTACCCTATTTAAAATGTAATAGAAGAGTAAGTATTTCAATTAATTAAAAGTAATGTAACTTCCTACATTTAATTATTTATTACTTTTCTAAATTTCTAATGATTTATTTTACTTGTTAACCATTTGCAAAAGACAGCTTGAGAGGCTATTTAAGTGTCAGACGGGTGGCGCTGCAAATTCAAACATTAATCAATCAAAAGCATCAGAACAGCATCAAACTTTCCTTAATGGCTGTGACTGGAAATAGCAAAAGGAAGACTTTGTGCACATGAAGAACATGCAAAGCAACAAAATGAATATTAGTCAACACATAGCAGAGCTTTTTACAGAAAATATTCAGATGGAACCAACAATGTAGGCTAATCGGGAACATATGCATATGTAACTGTAATTTAATTACACTTTTTTTCCCCCAAGGAACTGTAATGAATTACAGTTACATTTATTTTGTTATTAAATAATGTAACTGTAAATGTAAATTACATGTAACTAGTTACTCCCCAACACTGAGTGCAGGGATGTAAGTGTTTTGGCTGGCAAACTATGTGACACAGGTACCAAGGTAGAAATGTTAAAATATCTTAATTTCATACTTTTCAAGGCTGATTCTTTTACATTCAAACATTATTGCAATAGAACCTATTGTACATAACATCTAAAATGCATGTATGGTTTGTCAATTTTAACTTGGTTGCCTAAGAAAATAAATTTGAAGGTGTTTATCTACAAACTATCTTATATGAATTACACTTATCTCTGTTTTTCTACACGTCTATCTGTCTACAATTAATATTTATAATTAGAAGATAATGAGTTAATTAACAGTTCGATACATTTAAATATGTGCTACTTAAAGTTAGCACCTTGTGAGGCAACTTTTTACAAACACTGGTATCACTCAAACTTCTGATGAACCCTTGCAGATCTAATGGTTATTTTGTGCTATGGGACAGTGAAATAAAGGCTGTCCAAAAGCACCTTCTCTAGTACATTCATTCACTACTTCCTATATAACAAACACTCATTCTAATGAGCAGTAAATATACATTTCAGACAATAACGAATCATCGTCATTTTGCGATGACAAATGTAGATCATTTATAATATAATTTGTGGTGTTGAGTTGCAGTAATTCTTGTGTCTTTAATATAAAATGCAACACCTTTTTGGGATTGTTGTCATTTTAGTTGACTTTTCCCCCTTCAATTGGGAGGAATTGGGAGGCACACTAGTAGCATTTAGACTTTAAAACCCCTGTTGTATACAGCTGGCGATGGTGGAAGGTGCTGAGCAGCTGAGGTGTAGACTCTGAGTTGGATGTGGACTGCTTCTCTCACTTCTCCTTATTCTTCTTCCTTTAACTGAGGAAGTGGCAAATTATTTTCCTGCCCCAAGTGCCTGTTTTTTTTTCTCTGGAAGCGAGACTTCAGGCTCCTCCTCCTGCTCCTCTAGCTGGGCTGGGTTTGACTGGCTTGACTGCCATCTTCCTCAGCCGTATGCATGGTGGCAAGCTTGAGGTTGGCTGTCGTCAGTTCCTTCAGTCTTGTTTTCAGGCCCTCCAACTCATGACGCAGGGCATCCTGCTAATCCCTCAGCCCCTGCATCAGCTCCTGATCCTCTCTCAACTTTTCAGCTTGAGATTTTTTTCTCTGCCTCAATTTGTTGCTTTTTTGTTGCTTCATACTCTTTATGGAGCTTGTTGGTCAGATACTCTCTACCCTTCTGTCACAAACCATCTCCAGTCAGAGCATGGGATAAAACATAAAATGACTGACAGGTTGAACACAGCCACACTGCCACACAAAATGTAGCTTTTGATCTACTTTCAAACTTTTAAATGGGGTTGCCAGACTAGAGCTGAGATTAAAAGACACATTTGTCCAAGGAATAGGTTATACTGTAAATGTGTTGCCATGGCTCTTAGCAATAACAAACCAGGGGTGCAAATTAACATTTTGGCTCAACTGCTAAGTTGGCTGGTAGATGAAAAAAGCCACCAGCCTAACAAAATTTTTTACCGGCCAAAATAATAAATTGTCTTTTGTGACAATAAATTTGTTTCTGTCCTTTTAATTGAGCTAATAAGGTAATATGTCAAATACAAACCTAAAGAAGAGGCCAGAGGGGAATTTGAAGCAAAATTATATTATTGATATTAAATGTACTAAAAACATAACGTAAATTGTTTTATAAACTTACAAGATGCTTATTGATCATTCAACTTCTTATCACTGCTGACTCATGATTTATCATTTTCTACAATCACCCTCTTCTGGCCTCCTGGTTCTGACAGAGTCCTGGTGCCACAGCATCACAGGTTTTGTACAGCCTATGGATCATTCTCCTTGATCTCTGGGGAGGACAGCAGAACATTCGAAGATGTGACAGCATATCAGACACTGACTGGGTGCCAACTACCCAGCTAAAAGCTAAAAACACTCCTAGTACAACGAATTTAAATTAGCTCATCAAACTAGCAGCTTTCACGCTGCCTTATTTCACGGGGGTATTGCGCCAATCTGCCGGCTTGCTGCACTTTATGAAAGGTATGGAGCATATTTTATCCACCTCTGGGCAGGGAAAGTTGGTGATAGAGACAGAAAGACGGAAGGATCTGTTTGTGAAAAGCCACAACCGCTATGTGAAAGCACACATGGTGGCGGGATAAAGGCTTTTCCCAGGGGATAAAGCTGCAAACTTTTGTCCAGTATGAATAAGCGAATGCGATATAAATGCGGATATTCTATTAAGTGCGACACACAACCAACCAGAACGCCGGTACACTGCAAATTATTGTCAAGTAGAAATGAAATACCGAAAATATTTACCCTCCACTGTGACGGGTAGCCTTCCAACATTTGGCCGCCAAACGGAAAATCCACCCGCATTTGGCGGGTGTTAATTTCCATCCCTGTAACAAACAGTACATTATTAAAATTAATAAATAGCTGCAATTTGTAACAATATGACCAATATGACACCTACCAATAGTTAAGGGTCAGGATAGTACTAACAAATAAAGCATGAACGAGAGATGCAAAACTATGAGGAAGTGCAAAACATGGGAAGAGGTGTTATGGTTGGAAAATTCTTTGTGTCTGCTAGTGTTGGAAAACAAACCAGCCTCCAGTGGCAGCTGATATGGGTAGAACAGGGTCCGGCCCTTATTTATATACAGGATGTTTGTTGAGTATTTTGTATTTTGGGTGTTTGGAGTGTTTGGAGGCTCACCAGACAGTTTGAATGTCATTGAAAAAGCAGAAACACAACAGATTTTACAGAAACAAATGCCAAAGGTGATATGTTTATTTCAGGCAACCCCTTTCACTTACACATAATCATTTAATTAATTATTAATACAAAAATACTGATTACCGCAGCTTTAATTTTAGTTAGTGCAGCTTTAAGGTTTAAAGTAACCATGTCCAGAAATTAGATTCAAGTAAGCAGTCCCGCCATTTTACAATGAATGAAATACTAGGATAGGAAAGAGGTAAGAAATGACAGATCCTACTATAGGTGTCATTTATACTGGCGACGCTGGGGACATGTTCCCACCACTTTTTTAAATGGCAGATGTTGTCCCCGTGACTTTTTGAAAGCATTTGTTAAAAATGTTCTAAAAAAAAAACAACAAGAAATGTTTATTGACAAATAAAAATGCTTTGTGAAAGGTTTATTTGCACAATAAGACAACCTGCAATGCAATGTAAATATAAAAGAAACATCTGCGTTGTCCAAAAAAAGTAATTTAAGCTAAGAAAATAAGAATAAGCCACCGATTACTGCATTATATTCTTTAAATAATTTAATGTTTCCTTCAATATAAATAAAGACATTTCCACCATAAATTGGTGCAGAAAATGTCTCCAGAATGCAAAAAACAAATATTTTTTCTTAATAGTATGAAAACATATTCTTGTCTTGTTCTCGTGACTCCAATATCCTACTATTCAAGTGTTGACAAACAGTAAATCAGTATGTTCTGTGTTCAGGCAGTTTCAATATGAGTTTATAACCTGTAGGAATATTGCAGGCTAGACCTTTGGTTCCAGCAGTGAGGTGTTCCCATTTGTTGTAATTGCTGATAGATTTCAGCGTGTGCGTATGTGTGAAAAGTGTTTTACCCCACCACCCCCCACCCCCTTGAGTCTGCGTCATGCATTTTGGTCTGTGTTTACATTCCACCACTGGGCCAACGTGCAGAGCGCACAGTGTATGATACTGGGACCAGATACTGTGTGTGGAACAAACAAAACCAGGCTCCCTCCTCTTACTGGTATTTATGGTTGCTCATAGCTCTTTAATTTACTGATGCTTACAGTTATTGTCCATGGCGACTTCAACAAGAAAATCTCAGCCATGAACTGACTAGCTACAGACAGTTTATTAAATGTCTGACCAGGGAGGAGAACATTCTGGATCACTGTTACACTACAGTAAGCAGTGGGGACAGGGACAGGTTTATGGAGTCAAAGTACAGGTTTAGAAAGGCGGTGCGAGAAGCTAAACGACTGTACTCAGAGACTACAATACCAGTTCCCTGCCAACAACAGCACTCCTGTCTGG